ATATAGCGATTCACTGAAAATTCCAAGCAATTTGCAACTCTGGTCAAGAACAGTGTCTCGAAGAAGAAATGGAAGACAGTGTTTGCTTTAACTTAGACAAAGACAAGACCAATAGATCACCCAGAGAAAACAGATAGTATACATCAGTGTCTTAACTCAAATGGAGAACTTATAAATCAAGATCTTAGAAAAAGGAAGTATATACCACTGAAAGAATATTTGTAGCCATGGATGTTCCGCTATCTCTGGGGACAGGGGTCACTAGAACTCCCAGTCTCTCAGGCATCCTTGGAGAGACAGAACAAGGGTTATGCTCAGCCACACGGCATGCCAAAGTGTCCTTAAGTTCTTACACAATACACAGATATAAAAAAGGACAGCTGAGAAAATGACTCACATGGGCAGGAATGGCTTGGAAAATAATCCCAAAGGCACCGTCATTTTGTTAAAAATAAATAGAGAAGTTTTGTGCCCATAGTTTTAAGGGCATTTTTTAAAACTGATACCCTTGTAGATTTCCTTGTGCACGCTTCAAAATGAAAAGCCATCATAAGGACCACCCTCAAGCCATTTTTCACCCCATGACACTAGAATAGGCACTCGCTTACACCAGAGTGAAAATATTTACTTAAGTGATGAGCACTGATCTGGCTACAGTGAATTTTGCATCTACCCTACCGATTTCTGTTTCAGTCGCTCTGAGCTGCTAGGACAAACTCCCAGAGACTAAGGGGCTGGTAAACAAGGGAAAATTCCTTTCCCACAGCTCTGCAGGTGGGAAGTCTGAGGTCAAGGCCCCAGCGATGTCAAGCCATTGAGAGAGCCTCTCCCAGGCTACAAATAGCTGGGTTCTCAACTGTACCCTAATGTAACAGAAAGCCAGCCAGCTAACGTTCCAGACTCTTCTGATGGGAAGTACCCCATTCATGAGGGCTGCATCCATAAGGCCCCTTTCTCCAAGACTTTTACACTGTAGATAATAAGGTTTCAACCAGGAAAATTAGAGTTAATCCATATCAGTTTCTCTCTTACACTACTTTTTTTTGCAAGTTACAGGGAGGATGCCCTATGCAAGATTATCTGGGACTGTGACTCCTCGGCATTTGAGAAACATTTTACCCCAAAACCAGGCAGTCCTCCATCAGCAAGAACAGTTCACAGTCCTTTCAATGTTCTCAAATTACCCCCATCACTTTGCTCTAGGGATCCGTGTGTGCTTAAGATTCGTCTATGCCCCTTCCTTGGCCATGCACCATCAAGAATACCTTTCTCGCCTTGATCTTGATGGATGACCCTGACTGTAGGTAAATCCTGAGACATAAGTTCGCTGTGGTCCATGGATAACACAAAGTGTAGTCGGAGGAGCCTTGAAATTCTCTAAAACATTAGCCACTTAACTAGTGGATCCGGTTACACAGAAGGTTTGTAAAAATAAGACGAATCTAGGACTTCCAAGACTGACTGAGGCAGTGGTTCTCAACCTTCCTAACACTGAGACCCTTTAGTACAGTTCCTCATGTTATATGTTTATAACCATAAAATTATTTTCGTTGCTGCTTCAATAACTGTGATTTTGCTACTGTTATGAATCACAATATAAATATCTGATATGCAGGATACTCTTAGATAACTTCTGTGAAAGAGACATTTGATTCCCCCACACACAAAAAAAGGTCACAATCCACAGGTTGAGAACCATTGGTCTAAGGTGAAGCCTGTAAACCTCCATGAGGAAAAATCTTGCTGGTGGTTATGGTGCTCGTGAGAAGACATTGTGCCTGAGGACACCAGGAAATCCCTTCTAGTGGCAAGTGCAGTTTGAAACTAGCTTCCCAGAACAGGGAGCCATTTCAAGCATCTGACTGGGTGAGTAGGAATTTTACAACCCACAACCCATCAATCAATTAAAGACCAGTTAGCAGGAATTTACAGCCCACAACCCATCAATCAAGTTAAAGACCGCTATTTGAACCACCAGACAAGGAGCTATCACTCTTCGCTCAGACCATCAAAATAGGTGCTGTGAAATTTAAATAATGTAAGTCATGTACTAATAAGGATAAAGTGATATCACTTTTTATAGTGACATCAATATACATTTGTGAATTTTACCATTAGTCGTCACTGGTGGCAAATTATATCCAGGAATTGCTATTAAAAAAAAAATCACTGGGTAGATTTTGTTCTTCTCATATTAATACCAAGCATGGGTTAGAGGGTAAGACTTTAAGAAAATTAAATTTAAGTGAATATAATCTTTTATGGACTTGCGGTTGGCCATTTATGATCTTATGCGGTCCTCTTTTCACCAGACACTTAAACACATGTGCATGTACACACGTGTGCTTATGCACAGGTTCACATACACACATACGTACAGTTCCAAAATATTCAAAAATAACCCCAGAAATTCATATAGACACTTCCTACCAATTAAGAACTGCTCATCAATCTATGGACTTGGAAGGGGGGAATCTCACAAAGAACTAGAGGCAACTCTAGGATATTGAGGGCAAGAAAAGTAGCCCTTCCCCGAGAGAGGAGCATCCTAATCGGTGTCTCCAGTACCAAAACGTCAGCCCTGAAATAATATACATGCAAGCAATACGAGGCAGCGGTTCTCAACCTTCCTAACACTGAGACCCTTTAGTACAGTTCTTCATGTTATATGTTTATAACCATAAAATTATTTTCATTGTTGCTTCAATAACTGTGATTTTGCTACTGTTATGAATCACAATATAAATATCTGATATGCAGGATGGTCTTAGGTAACTTCTGTGAAAGAGTGTGGGGGGAGGGGGTGGGGAGTTATAACAAAGATGAGGAGGCCAGGAATTTAAGGGGGTAGTGGGAGGAGCTAGAAGGAAAGAATGGAAACAAAAGTATGTAATTACATTTTAATTAGCAAAAACCAAACTAAACAGGAGCCTGTGAGTCACAAAATGTTAGGCTTCCAGTGAACGTGTGACTTGGAGGTATGTGGGACCAAACCATACTCTGCATACATGAAAGCGTTTGACAAATTCCGATCGTCTTGAGAATTCCTCAGCTAGATGAAGACCCTCTCGGGATCCGTGAGAACACCTAGCTCTCTATAGTTTTCAGAGTCCAGCTACCTGGCAGCGCTCTGAGTATTTCCAAATTTTCTGCATTTAAAAAAATAAACAAACAAAACAAAAACCCAGTATGGAAACCACAAGCCCTGTCACAGAGTCTGTTCCTGCCTCTAACCACTGAACACGGAAGGCATTGCCTGCGCCTCTCTGCCAGCAGCCCCTAAGTAGGTTCAGAATTTATTTACATTTCACAAGGGGGTTTTAAGGCTTGTTCAAAAATTCAGTCAACCCATAATGCAGAATAATCTTGATATCCAAAAATGAAAAATCATCATACAAACACCAAAAAAAAAATCATCTCTCTCCAATGCACAATAAATATTAAAGACTCTATGCTATATACTTGGACAGCTAAACCAAATATCAGACAACTCAAAGGTTAATTTAAATTTTGCTTGAGACTTCTGTACATGTTATGTATGCTATTTGTCTTGGGAAAGACAAAATACAGGGTTGAGGAAGAGGAGGTACACTGTAACAATCTGACTTAAGACATTGATTGAAGTTGCATGAACTGACTTCTGTATTTTGCCCAGCCTGGGGAAGGGGGAGGGGGAGGGTCTTGGTGCTGCCTCAGTAAGGTGATGGGACAGACTCAGTGGACTTCCCAGGAGATGCCTTCCCCTCTCTAAGGAGAGGATGGAGGGGTAGGGGTGGAGGGAAGAGAGGATAGAGGGGGAACTAGGATTAGTATGTAAAAAATAAATAAATAAAAATTTTTTTAAATGACACTGATTGGGCCCCTACCCCGTTCTACCTGTATTTGACCCAGACACAGTGACCAATACAGGAGGGGAGCTTACCTACCAGCCAAGAAGACCACCATTTGTCAATGACACGTGGCCACAGGGAAGTCTTTGGCCACTCGCCAGCTGTGTCCCACTAGGCCTCAGGTCCTCCAGCCAAAGAGTATAATTTCACGGTTCACTTCAGAAGGTTTTTATCACAAAATGCATAGAGAGTGTCCACATTACAGGAATACAAATAACAGGAATAGCTACCCTTAACGGCTCCTACAGCCGCTGTTATCAAAATAAATTCCAACACGGTAGATGACTCTCCATCCGGCTTGCTTTGACTACACGAGATGTTCTTAAAAGGAAGTGTGTTGAGGACTGCCGTTCGTGCTTCTGAATCAAACTGCCATTTTCAATCTCCTCCTCCAGCTCCTGGAGATTAGGGGCCTCTCCTGCAGCTAGCTCACCTAAGCCCTTTCCAGTCCAGCATCCAGGTTGCTGTCCGTGAGCCTCTAGCCTATTTGTCGAAAGGATAAGCTTCCCCGGTTCGTTTCTACTCAAGTAAATTGGTCTTTCTTTCCTCTCTAATTCTTCCTGAGAGAATTAATTTGCCTTTTCTGGTCTAGCCAATCAGCCATCCCCGCGTTTAAAACTAGAACTCCTGCCCTCCCCCCCACACACACACAAACACAATCAGACCCATTTTGAGACTTTTTGAAATAAAAACACAGAAGCAGCAAGAACAAGGATACGTGATCAGAATGAGCCGAGAGCTGAACACTCACCCCTGCATTTTCTATTTTATGATCATCCTACCGGAGGAGAGTGCAAAGTCCCCTGGCTCTCCGTACCTCAAAAGCACTCTAAGTTTTAACAGAGAACAGACCATCTACATCCAGTAATATACGAGAACACCACTGCTCCTCACAGGACAACCAGAAAAATGACAGAGAAGTTGTGATCCGTGCTTTCAGCTAACTCTCTGTTAAGTCTGCCTCACAGCTAGTCCTAAATCCTCATGCTCCCCCTCACCAGCCCCTTGGCTTGGGCTTTGATGCTGCATCATTTCCCTCAGGAGACCGGGTGGAGGCTAAGCTGTTTCCAGAGTACCGCTTGGGACATCCCCCCAGACTCTGCCTCTTACCTGCAGAATCCACGCTGTCGGCAGGCACACTCTGCGTGGCAGCTGGGGCTGGGTCCTTAACTCCGTGCACCTGGCCATCTTCTTCCTGGGTCGTCAGAAACGCAGAGCACAAACCAGATTCGAGGGCTTGGAGCTTCAGCAAGGAATTCTGCCAACAAAAGCAGAACATGAAGCCAGCTAAGTGGATGCCTGACACACAGCGCTGGGTCTGCGGCTCTCCAGCACCTTTGCTGGGTGCCTGGCAGGAACGGGGTCTCCGGCTGACCACAGCTGCTTCAGGTAAAGGAGTTGGTCCCTGAGTCAGAGCTGCGCATTTGTCCACGTGCAGGCTCAATTTCTGGCTCATTGAAATCCCAACGTATACGGTTTATCTGTGACACATGGGACCTGTGATGTCGTCAGCAAGAGACACTGCATCTGGAGAGCCAATCTCCGAAGGTGTCTGCTTCCCAAATGGAGAGAGGCTTTACGCTCAGCAATGGTTTCATTCACTGTACTGACATCAGGAGCCGGATATTAGGCCACTCCCAGGCTACCATTCATAAACACCAGCGTCCCTCCAAGACACAGACTGCGGCAGACCGCAGCACACAAAGAGTTACTGCTGCAGCGGCTGTCTGGCTTCAAGGAGGGGCTTCTGGGCTCCCTCAGGCAGCTGCATGCACCTTCTAAAGTTACTTCTCTTGCAGGGGATGCCCCGCCCGCCTCCTCTGGAGATCAGAGACCAGGGAGACAGCCCTGGTCCCTTTCGCCTAACTCAGCTACTGGAGGGAGAGCAATTGCTCCTTTCCCGCCTACCCCTTCATGTCGCAGCTGAAATCCTCCCAGGTTCTTAGGAAGAACAAGTCATGCAGACTGACGCACCTATGATGCAGCAGCCCAGAAAATTGATTCCCCTAGCAGGTGAAGATGAGTCATGCCTGCGTCCTGGCTGGGCACCGCGACCCCACAGTGGGACAGCTCAGCAAGTCCCAGGAGCAACTCCGCCCACCTGCCTCCAGCTGTGGCAGGGCAGCCAGGGGGAGCAGAGCAATGGGTCCTTCTACCCAAATCTTCCCACACACGCCGTACTCACACGAATCGCCCCCTCACAGATGCCACACAGGCTCACACTGGAGCACCCCACTCCACAGCTCCGCCCCTGCCTGTCCCATATACCTACTCACACACAACTTCCCACACCTTTGCTTCCAACACCACACTCACACATAGACCCTAAGCCCTGAATGCCCTAGCTCACACTGTATATGTCTTTTCGTCCCAACCTCAACCCCCACTTACATACCCAATTCTACACACACCCTACACTCTACCCATCACTCTCACATACTCACATACCCCCCTCCCGGCACTCTTCCTCCTGTCCCACACATACGCCTCCTTCTGACTGCCCCCGTACCCTCCTCTCCTTCATGCATGCCCAATACCCACGCATCAACCACCAGCCTTTCACACTGTGCCAGTGAGTCACACCCTTGCCTTATATACACTCTCATATGCACACCTAGCCCAGTTATCTCCTCCCACATCACTCTCTCCCGTTCTACTGGTACCAGCTCCCCCAGCCCCATGCCTTCATCCACTGGGCTGATGCTACAAGCAGTGTCTCTACATGATGATTGCTCTCCAGGGGAGGTCTGAAACTTCCTCAGGCATTTGGAAGTCGGGGGCACCTCTGCAGCTCAGGTCCCTCCTCTGCCACGCACAGATATGCTCATGAACTTATAGGAACACCACTGTCAGCCCTCAGAATAACCACAGCTGAGCCAAAGCAGCGTGGCCTAAGAATAGATGACTTCCATGGCCCTCTTCTCCCTCTGGGACAGGTCCGCAGCTGAGAGTTCAAGGTTGCTGAGAGGAGAAGCAGAAAGGAACAATGGCACCAGGTTTCCAGAAGAATCTAGTCATTGGTGTCCAGTCAGCTGGTGGACACCAAGGATGATTCCAAGGAAACCAGCGTGGGCTCTTCAAGAGCACGGAACTGCACTACAGAGTTAGACAATGCCATAGATGTGACCTGATGGGTCACTGCAGGACATAGCGGGCCCTGAAGAGCCTGAATACAAATACCATATAACACAACTCCATCATTGGGTATGTACCCAAAAGAATTGAAAGTGAAGGCTTGGACGGTCTGTACACACCCACATCTATGGCATTTCAAGAGCTTAGAGAAGTGTTACGGGCTGAATTTTGCTTTAAAGTTCCCCTATTGAAGCTCTGTTCTCAGTGTGACTAAACTTAAGGATAGGGCCTTTAAAGATGTAACAAAAGTTAAAGAGGCCTTAAGGATCAGAACCCAACCCAATAAGACTGATGTCCCCATAAAAGCCAGAGGCCATGGAGACAGTCATATATCGAAGGCTCTATGAGAGTCCCATTTGAATGCAACTTCTTACAAGTCAGAGAGCATGGCCTCTGGAAAAACTAACACTGCTGGCTCTTTAACCTTGGATTTCCTGGGGTTTTGCTATTTAAGCTACCCAGCCTGTAGTACTTTGCAATGGCACACTTCAGAACCTAACGTGAAGTGCAAGAACCCAAGTGTCCACAAACAGATACACGGATGCCCCAAATATGGCTGAACTTCCAAAAAACATTCCTCAAAATTCAAGGGGAAGATACCGACTGGCATAGGCTACCACACAGTGAGATTAGCTAGTTCCAGAAGAAAGAATACTGTGTGATTCTACTCGATAAGAGAGCAGAAAAGCCATAAAGACAGGAAGCAGAGCAGTGTTTCCCCAGGACTAGCTGGAGAAGGGAGGGAGCTGGATCATGGGTTTAGAATTTCAGTTCTGTATATATACATATATATACATATATACATATATGTATATACATATATGTATATATATATATGTATATATATGAAGGATGCTTAGCAATGAGAATGAACTTAGTGTTGCTGAATGGTACGCTTAAAAGTACTTGAGAGGACATGTTTTTCATACTGAATATATTCTACAATTACTTTTTTAAAAATTTTATGTCAAAGGAGGCAGACCTGTCCATGCCTTTCGATAGCAACCGGGTTTCATGTAGCCCAGGCTGGCCTAGAACTCTGTCACCTTGGATCATCTTCAATCTCTGATCTTCATGACCTTGCTTCCAGGGTTGTGGGACTATGGGTAGGTGTGTATCACTGTATCTGGCTTTACACCCAGTGCGGTGGAGGGACAGGACGCAGGACTTCCTGTAGACTAGACAAGCATTTGAACAAGACCCACATTCCCAGCCTTTTGTTATACGGCGCCAGCAGCCTGGCTCAAATGCCTATGTGCTCTTGTGTAATTTGCAAAGCAGCAGATGGCTTTCAGGGTCCCAGAGAACCATGGGGAATGTGCACCATGCTCTCTATCCTGCCTGACTGTGGGCAGATAGCCTGGCTATTCCAAACCTTATCTTTTCATCTTTAAAAAGAGGCAAAAATAACAGTGATGAGTTATGGCCCCTGCCGCGAGGGCTGCTCCCAGGCGAACTGAGGGAGGGTAAGAAAAGCACTTTGTAGAAGTGCCAGTAGGTGGCCGGTCACTCCATCACTGGTGAGGCTGGAATGTCCCCAAACACCAGCTGCTGGGAAGAGGTCTGGCCATGTGGACAGACTTCAGGCTGGGCCAGTCGTGACTCATCTCTACCTCCCAGGGTTTCACTTCTGCACCTGCCTACCAGGAACCCCACTTTAGATGACTTTGAAGTCCCCTTCTAACGAGGACAGAGAGAAAATCAAGCGTGTACATACACCAGGACAGAGGTGCAGATCCTGGTACAAGTAGGTACCTAGACTTGGGTCTGGAGCTGAACCAAGGACTCAAGTTACACGGACATCATAGGACATCAATACACAGGGGTACGTCAGACTCAGAAGCTTCTAGACCCTATCTAGGAGACAGACTATGTGTTATAAACCAGAAGCGGCAGGAGTGTCAAGAGTTATGGTATCCAATGTGGAGGCTCAACTATCCACATGCCGCATGAGAAAGGAGTCTCTTGAGGGGTTTACGGGCAGCAGGCTGCACACTACTTGGTGGCAAGAGACTAGGTAAAGCACTGGGGTGGATAGACAGGCTCTAGGCCCTGCCTCTGGCTTGAGGCTCCTCTCTCACCTACCCAAAGGAGGCGGGGTCAGTCAGCAGGCCATGTGCAAGTGGGAGGGCTTAGCCGTGACTTAGAAGTTTAAGGTTTGGCTCAAATGTCAGAGATCATTGTGAGTGCATGGCTGCAGGCACTGTGTAAAGCAAGCAGTCCAGACTGAGAAATCCTTGAAACAGGTACAGTAGAAAGTGGGTATAGACAGTCATAAAAGAATAATATTAACAAACAATTTTAAAATAATAGAATAAAATATAGAAAGGATAGCCGTGTAAGGATGGGAAATATTATAAGGCAAGGAGTTTGGACCTTATATGAGCTTTTTTTCATTTTAAATGTCTTAAATGCTAATGAACAGAGAATGACAGCCAGTGAGAGACACTCAATTGTGGAAGTGACTGCTGGATTAAACGAGCCTGCACACAGGCTGTATATAGCCAGGGTGTCTTGGCTTCAGAATGGGAGTTCAGAATGGGAAATATAGTGTGTTGGGGGAGAGGAAACAAAGAGTTGTGGTTTGCTTCACACAGGAGATCTACTTGCATGGCTGGGCTGTTCCTCTCTGAGACACTAAACAGAATCAAGCATAAAGGAATGAGGATGAAAAGGCCTAGAAAATGGAACGAGATGAACGAGGTGAACATCAGAAACACAGAGAGGCCTCTAAGCAGAAAAGAAGACAACTGCTGGAGACCAAAGACAAGAAATTAGAACTGGAGAATCTCAGCAGCCCACCTGTCCCCGCCACAGGCCATCCCATTCCCCATCACTTCAGCACACAGCCCTCCTCAGTAGAGTCCTCCTCAGATCGACACCCTCTGTGGAATGGGTCTATATGGAATACATCACCCAATGGTTTAGGATCCCAGGGCAACAGTGAAGATATCTAGCTGTGTTACATGTTTACCCAGGGAATGATGGGAGATATCTTGCCTATCCGAACAGGATGAAGCACCATAGAGCTATCCCAGGGATGCCTGGGATACTGCACAGGCAGGGTCTGTGAAGATGTGCTAGCCCCATGCTGCTTGACTGCTCAAGCAAGAGCTAGGTTCA